ACCCCAAAACCCCTGAAGGTTAAAATAAAAGTATAAGTATGAATATATTTTAAAATATAGAAATTATAATAGTAATTTTAATATGCACAAGTATACTGCTCTAGCATTGACTCAACATATCTCAATTCTCAAGCATTCATCCGTAAAGTCCTTAATAAATCAATCTCATCGTCTCTTTTCTTCTTAAATGGAAAAATTAATTGTTCAAGACGAGAACGAGATGACAGAAACTTAAGCCTAACCAAGCGTAATTAGCTATATTAGCACTTAGAACAATCCTAATACCAAAAAGGTTCTCTTATTCATTCAGGGCCATCAAAATCTTTAGTAACTATATCACAGAATACCAAGTAAGTTCATAACTCAAATCCATATTATTATAGATGATGGATTTTTTCCAAAGATAAAGTCTAATGAAGATTATGAGCAAGCTGATATTAAAAAACTAATAGCATTGGAATAATACCAAGTGTTAGAATAAATAATTAGCAGTATAAGACCAAATAGTCATCAAAGCCAACCAGAGTTTATTTAATTTCTAGCCTCTTCACTGACTGATAAATCATTTGAAATTTGCTTCATTCTCTATAAAAAAATGAAAGAATTAGACATAGAAATAAGTGAATTAGTGATGAATTTTTTACTTTTCAACTCTGCTCATTTTGCCTAGTACAAGCATTTATGCCAGCTTCTAATTGAATCAACTTTCCTCGATGTTCATATCGAGTTAAATACCTACATTAAGATTCTCACTACATTATACCTTGATTGTGATATTAAGTTTGACAGAAGTGAATTGATGTAGTTTGTGACCTAACTTTTTGAATAGGACCATCCTGATGAGAATTTCAGTTTAGGAACAGATTTATTAAAAGAATACCTAGCCCATAATGTGGATGACTTTAAACTATACAGGGATCAGATTAAAAATAATAAGAAAAATGCTTTTATTAACAAGGAATAAAATTTAGATTAAGTTTAAAATTAGTATGATTACGAGCCACCATAAAATTCTGTTTTCTCAAGTAAATATGCTTAAAAGCTGCCAGAAGATCAATTAAAGACAACTTCAAGAGATAAAATTTAATATCAAGAAGGTGAGATGCCTCTTGATTAAATTAATGATTTCTATCAGAGGAGAACCGATCTTTATAAAAGCTAAATAAATAGACCTTAATAATAATTGAAAAAGTTCAATCAAAAGAATCGAAAAACTAACTATCCCAACTATTCATTTAAGCATCTTAACAAATATTAAAATCAATAAAACTCAGGACTTTTTGTGAATGACGGGGAAGCCCAGCTCATTATCGATATAGGCCATCTAAAAGAAATTGATTAGAGACCAGATAACATTAAAAAATTAGCAACCTAATTAGCTGAGAGAATCGAAATAATGCTTAATCAAGAAATAGATAAACTTAGCACTTCAGAAAAGAGGTAATAGGAACTAGAAGTAAGTGGACATTCGATTGATTAAAATGGAGGAAGAATTCTCAATTAATTCAAAATTGATTTGACTCCATACACAAAATCAGAAAAGAAGGAGGCTTTGAAATCCTAGCTAGATTAAGCATAGATTAGAGATGAAAAATTTACTATGGAAACATTTCTTAATACCGTGAAAGAGATATCATCAGGCTTTAAAAATGACTTCTTCAAAAAAGGAGCAAGAGATCAAAGAACTAATCTTAACCATGAAAAGTAATACATGACAACACAAGAAGAAGGGACTAGTGACTCCCCATCATTGATGCAACGAGGCTACTAAAAATTAGAAAGGGTTGGTGGGAGCAATTAAAGCAGTACTGAAGGGGAAGAGGATCAAGAGAGAAAATAAATGTTAAGAGATGAATTTAAAGAGAATGGATCTATTAATAGCACTAATGCTGATAAAAATGATACGGAGCAGTAACAGTAGGATAATAAAGTTGCTAATCAATAAAATAACATAGATGACAAAGGGAGCAATATTACATCTAATTGAGCTAGTGTGATTAATCTAATTCATTATTAGTAAATTACTTACTCAATTCTATTTAAATCCTATTACTAAAATTTTTTTCTCAGCTTAAGTGGACTAATCAGGTGGGGTTTTGGGGTTTTGGGG